GGAGAGCCACTCACATGATCAGGGGGCAGCAGGGCAGGCCTTACGAGCAGAGGCTACGGGACCTGAACCTGTTCAGCCTCCACAAGAGAAGGCTGAAAGGGGATCTGGTGGCCATCTACAAACTGGCCAAGGGAGACCAGTAGGCAATGGGAGAGTCCCTGTTCCCCCGAGCACTACCGGGAGTAACAAGGAATAACGGCCATAAGTTGACTGAGAGTAGATTCAGGCTAGATATCAGGAGGCACTACTTCACAGTCAGGGCAGCTAGAATCTGGAACCAACTTCCAAGGGAAGTGGTGCTCGGTCCTACCCTGGGGGTCTTCAAAAGGAGGCTAGATAGACACCTAGCCAGGCTCGTTTGACCCCAGCATTCTTTCCTGCCCATGGCAGGGAGTCGGACTTGATGATCTGCTCATGTCCCTTCTGACCCTACCAACTATGAAACTATGAAGGAGAAAGAGCTCAGACACACAACAGCAAGAAAGAGGATGATAAAAATTCATAAAAAGGAGTTAAAAAGGAAGATAACAGAAAAGAAAGAAAAAGCTAATGGAAAAAAAGTTGGTGAATGTGTACCTCATTCACATTTTTTATAAATATTCAGATAGCAATTTTAAACTTTACAAAATACAATGTAAGACTTTTTAAACAGAAAAATATTTGATCGTTACAGTAGTACTTTAATTTTGAAAGCAATGGAAAAAAAACTTTATGAATCCACACAACAAATTCACAAAAAGGATGTCCAAATCCAAAACAAGATTTACATACGCTTCATATAATTTTTCAGGGTAAGCTGATCTGGGGAATTTATGGAGTATCTCCAGTAAGTCGCATAAAAACGTGGCTAAGTGAATCTGCTTTGACACCAACTCACAAAAAATGATTTCTAAGGCACCTTCATCTTATGTGACCCCTCTGCTGTTTTCTCCCCCAAATACTGTGTTCTAGCCTTGCAGTCTAACCCCATTCTTCACAACTACTTGTCTGAGTGGGAAAATGACAGGAAACTCTAGCTCCTTAATCCCAAACTTCTGCTGGTTGCTGAAAACACTAGTGGTTAGTACCTTTGGTACATAAAGTATCTGATTGTACCTAAAAGGTATCTGGTGATTACATTATATACTGATATCATGTAATAATTGATGGAAATCTGAAGAGAGGGTATTAATTACAATTTTATTCTCCTGTAGTTAAGTTCCTCAGCTTTATTTAATTAATTTACTTAAGTCTACAAATCTCACATACATGAAACCACAATAAAATTTGAGAGCAGGTCTGATGAAAAGAGAATCAGCACTGAAATATGTTACAATTTAATTCTGAACTTTCCTTTGCAGTACAAGAAACGTTATCAATACATCACATGTAAAAACAGATGCAGTGATGTACTGATGCATATAGCACATGAAGTATTTGTCTTGTGTAGCATGAACTGTTACAAATCTCATGTTTATAAAAATTAATCAGAGATTTGGATTTTATTTAGCCACTATTTTCTCAAGTGTTCTGTTCCTCCTGCAACTGATTTCTGGTATAAAAATCAATGTCAAAGTAGGAACAAGTCCAACAGCCCCTTAGAAAGCTAAATAGGAATAGTATGTTAGCAGAGCATCAAGGAAAATTTTTAAAAGAAAACAGATAATGCCTCAAAGATAGGAGATAGCACATACTACCTGAGGAGAACAAGCAGTTTATAGAACATCTCAGTCCCACTTTTGTGAAGCATGCTTGTGTCTTGTATAACCTAGGGACAAGAGTAGTATGTGCCTAAAAGCTTACCAAACCTCTCCCCCAACTATAACATTTCTCCAATAAAACGTACCACAAAAAAAAGAAAGAAAACACTTTACCTCTCCAGCATCAAAAAATAAATCTTACCCACTGATTCTAGTAGGGTTGAATTCAGATACAGATTGGTGACAAAATTTGTAATTACTGTAGAACTGTCGTACCAGATTCTTCATTTAAATCCATAGTTCATTGTTAATATAGGCTTACTTGCTATTTTTTCCATCTTGTCTGACCTTTGCTGATTCCTTCCCTTCCAGAACTCCCCACTTTTTTCTCTATAAAAATGCTGTGAACTTGAGCAAATAGAACATTTTCTGTCCAACTACAAAGATATCAGTGAGGGAACCATGTTATGTAATTCAAGCCAAACATGGGAAAATAAGAATTAAATAAACTACTCTTAGTAATAATGAGGGGAGGGGTTATTTCACCACTTTGTTGTCAGTTTTAAATGTCTTACCTTTCCTCTCCTGCTCTCCTTCAACACAAATTGGTCAACTTCCTACAGCAATGCAGAAACCCAGAAAAAGAGAAGGAAACATACCAGCATAACAGAGGAAAAGGTTACAGATGTGGACAGCATAGTATAAAATAGCAGTGAAAGAGAAAGAGCTACTTAAAGGTTAATTTATCAGAGAACTCAAACTATGATAATTCCAGCACTGATGACTTGCAAAGTTTTTTTTCCTCAAATAAAAAAAAAATAGAGCAGTGTTGTATTTAATCGAAACAATGTTTTCTGGAAACCAGGTAAAATAGATGTCCTATTTTCTCCCTATTCAAAAGAATTAGATTTTGTATTGTTGATTGCCAAAATAATGATAAGAAGGTAATTTATGTAGGCCTGCTAAATTCTGGAAGAAAAAAACATCTTGGGCTTCAATTTGGAAAAGGAAGGAAAAGAAAGACAGTCTCAGATAATCCCTTTTCTTTCAAAAGTAGAACATATATATAGGTATAAAGAACAGCCTTTTAATTTTCATGTATGGAAATGAACAAATTCTGGAGGCAGAATTATAAAACTACCATCACATTTTACCTTCTAAACATAACTGTACACATTAAAAAGAATTTAAGATTACTCCTGATGTCTACAGCAACACTGCAGTTACCCAAGTCATTCAGAAACAAATTCTAGAAAAACCACTTAAGTAATTGGTGCAAAACAACTTTTTTTTTTTCAGGCAAAGCCTATATTAAAGTGGAGCATCTAATAATGTGTGTTAAAATACTTTTAGGAAAATGAGTATTTGTTTACTCTCAGCAGAACATATATGCCATTAAGCTTTCATCTCCATTAAAGAAGGGTTTTTTGAGCCAAAGAGAATAGCCATGGTCCAGTTTCTAAGAATGGAATGATTACACAGAAAAGGTAATTTATGAGGATGTTTCAGAAACTAGCAGCAAGTTCTAAATAAAACCATTTTGTGTGCAAAAATAGTTTTCTGAACCACATTACTCCTTTACATAGTTGTTTTGCTTTGTAATACAACTATTCCAGCCAGTTAGAAATTTCTTGATACTGTCCTCAAATAAGCTTTTTGGTTGCTGTGACTCCGGCATCAGAAGTTGCACCACTGGCAAATATGCACCCACAAAGAGCCCAATAGCCCAAACAGGTGATAATCACTTAGTGCAAGGTCGGGACTGTAGGGCAGATGTGGCAGTGGGTGTTGCTATTGACTGTGACCTCCACGAAGTGGACAAGGAGTGGTCCTATATCAGTGGTCACTTGATCAACTGGTCAACTGTGAAGCCTCTGACAGTCGATCTCAGCCTGTCAGAGGCTCCACAACTGGGAGCAGCAGGACGCACATGGCTGGGCTGACCTATGCCCCCTGCCACCCAGGCTGCACTTGGTGAGTGGGGTCAAAACCTGGGCAGCTTGTCCGGGAGGCAGGGGGGATGTGGTAGATCCTGGAGTGCCAAAAAGTAATCTTCACCATAAAACGGTTGGTTATCACTGTCCAATGGGTGGTGGCAATGATGTGCGTTTTCACTGTGTGCTCTGCTTTCTGCTCTCAGGATTGTAATGGTAGACCCAGGCATCGTTCCTGGTAATGACGCACAAGAGGAACCCCTCGCCTTCATCCCATACATCTTGCAGAGGCTGGGGATACACTTCCACACACTGTCTTTTTTGATACACATGCATCAGTTGCTTTGGCACCCAATTGGCACATACTTTCAGGTAATTCAGGTGACCATACAAAATGCATGGATACTGAAAGCATTTACACCTGCTTCCCCCACTAGCTCAGGAATACTACTTGCCTGCTTACACGCATTGCGCTGTCAACCTTAGCAATGTTTTCCTCCCTTGTGGTTATGCTGTGGCATGCCACCTGGGGTTCATCCAGTATGGACATGCAGCTGTTTCTGAACTTCTCCACCCACTTATAGACCTTCCGTTGAGCCATACAGTTCTCACTATATTGTGCCACAATCCGATGGTGAATTTCACCAGACGGCAGATCTTTGGCACACAGAAATCAAATGTCAGGACACTGTTCTTCTTTTGTACACACTGACAGCTGCATGGCCACATTGTCTATGTGCTCACTAGCATCACACGCAGGTTCAGCCTAAAAGGATGGCAGCATTGTCAAATGCACCCACCAATGCTCCCCACTGCTATGTAGTTTCCCACTTTCTTGCAGATATGCAGCATGGGCAGCTGTTTTGCTGTTTGTTTCTGAAACACCCTTGTACCACTGAACAATAACAGTACATACAAAAATACATAAAGACAACAGATTCTTATGGTAATAAGCATGATTATATAGAACACATGAATGTTGTAATTTAAAGTATGTTTACCTCATATTCTTTTCTGCAAATTTTCAGGATGTCATTCTTTGAAGAAGCCTGAAATCAGTTAAATATCTTATGTTAATGTACAGCACAAGCTAATTAACAAGAAAATCATGTAGCAAAGATTTGCAATCTGTCCCCCACCTTCCCCCTCCCACAGCCTCAAACCCCCCCACCTCTACTCCCCCACACTGTCTTGTAGCAGGCAAACTGAGCTATGCTAAGACTTTTTAGCCATAGTCCAGGCTTTCCCAGAACTAAGCAACAAAATTGAACAGAGCACCTTCTGTGGCACCGGGAGATACAAGTGCTGTGACTGGGCGCTAGGTGAGCAAGGCACAACAATATCCCTATAAGGAATGTGCCTGGCACAGTGCCAGCAGACTGGTGTACCATATACGGAATGCCTGGCACAGTACCAGGGGACCGGACAATTTGAGATGAGAAAAGTTATAAAAGTGATGGACAAACAAAGGAACATGTGTGTTAGCATGATGTGACCCTGGGAGGAGAGATGCAGCTGCTGGGTCCCTGCTCGAACAGTGGGGAGCCACAAACTAAAATCCCACACACCCAGTGCAGGACCCGAGGCCTGGTACCCGCAAAGGTCACTGGTTTAATGTCCAACGAACCACTTGTCAAGTCGTACTATGGGAAGGAAACCTGTAATATTGCCTAGGGGTTACTATTAAAGTTCACTTGATACCACATTGGACGATTTGCCATGTTAATCTTTGTGGGGGCTCTGGCAAAAATAATTCTATTTCTTCCCCCAACATGCAGCCTTTACTCCCCCAGTTGCTTCCCCCTGACCCTTCTGCTGCTTACCGTTCCTCAAGCTCCGACAGGCTCTGGCCCCGCTCCAACCTGGGGCACAAATCATACGCTTGGCCCAGCCCTAGCCCAACCTAGCAGTAGTAGCATAGCACCACCACATGAAAGATGGCAGCTCAGGCCAAGCTCTGGTTCAGGGGATGAAGCTACCATGCTGCTGCTGCTGCTACAGGGCTGGGATGGAACAAACACATGCTCCGTGCTGGAGCAGGGGTGGATCCTGTTGAAGCTCAAGCAAGCATAAGAGAAGGGAGGGGACAGAGGCTACAGGGGTGGGGGAAGATGACGGAAGGGAGACCCAAGGCTGCAGGGGAGGGGACAGGCACAGGGGTGCAAGCGGTGGGGGGACAGGTGGCAAGGGGGCAAGGTGTTGGGGAGCAAGGGGCAGGGAGTCAAGCTGCTTACACCACACCGGTCTCCCCCACTGCCCCCCAAACGCACCCCATAACATCTGCCCTGTTACGTCTCAGCTCATGTTCTTGGGGAACCCTGACACAGGATGCAGACTGACTCGCAAAGAAT